ATCAAATCCTTGGCTGAATAATACAGTTAATATGAACTGTTTGTTCGCAGCACTTAAACATGTTGGAGTTCCAACATGTTATCCAAAACTCCAAATCCAAGATTTGGGATTAGGTAGGAGTAAATATTTAACTGACACAACTTCTTAGATCAAATAAGGCTCCAATTATCTAATACAGGTGGGATGGAATGAAAACCAGCAGGTGTGTGGGGCACCGGGACCAGAATTTGGAACCACTGCCGTAGGCAGTTGTCCTGGAATTGTTGTATTAACCACGTACTCCTCTGACTGGCAAACAGTGCCGCCATCCATCATGAATGCTTCCTGGCAGAGAACGCAGTTGAAGTGAACAGCAGGCACTTTGAGCTTGATCGGTTTGGCTGTGTGTTCTTCCTTTAAAACACTGTAGGCTTTCACAATATTTTATGGTGTTTTTAAATGGTTCAGCACTAGAGTAGTCAAGAGGCAGATAAAATATATTGTGTTCTTTGTCTTCACAAAACAAAATATCTGACTTTTTTTGCCAGAAGCCAGCCAGCAACTAACAATTATGAGCAAGGTAACCATAGTACTCTTGCAGTTTTCCCATGGTTTTACTATACTAACAAAATGCATTCACTTTGCTTTGTCATAGTGTCCCACACTGTGTTTTCTACCGAGCTTTGTAATGTGATATTGTATACTTTTTTTTTTACTGTTTTATTTTTACTTTACTTTTACTGAAGAATCTTCTTCTTCAAATCCTATTGCATATTGTTTCTGAAACAGAAATCTCCCTGATGGATGAAGGAAACAAGAACCCACTTTCTGTGGATTTTCTGGCAATTAGGCTCCCATCAGGCAGATGTCAATTACACCTGTGGATTCTCCATTAGTGCTAATCTACAGAGGCTCAACCTGCCAAGGATGGCCTTTTGAAAATAGATTAAACAACGCATGTCACCAGTTTGAAAGGCTGAAGAATTGAGCCCACTGTGTCGACACATTTATTGATTTCTTTTCTTTTAGGATTTTTTGAATTAATATTGTTAGCCTTGGGCTCAGTTAATATGGCCTCAAGTGCTTACAATTTCCAGTTCTTTATCCTTGTGGTGGTTACTTTTGGCCACCCTCCAGAACAGAACCAATTCTCCAAAGCAGAGTCTTTACAAAAACAAACTACATATGTGATTGGACACTATCTCAAACATTTGAGAGATAAGTTCTAAAAAGGGATTTCCCTTAAGGGTATTCCACAGTTAAATGATCAGCTTTATTCAATTGCTGCTTAAAGCCAACACCAGCTTTGCTTGGCTGGTGAAGCAGTCGATCAATTCAACGTTAGTGAACTTTTTGTTGCTTTATGTCATACGACTGATTACTCTGTGAGGTGACATTTATATCAGTTCCCTTTTAGTAGTAGTAGTAGTAGTAGTAGTTGCTTGCCATTGCTTGAAGTACAACCTAAAGAGATCTTTTGTTTTCAAAAATAAATCTAACCTGTCAAGTTTAAATAACAAAATAATAATAAAATAATAAAATAAAAGCTAAAATAACTAATGTTGTTTACATTTGTGCTTCTGTGGTAAGGTTAATCACCCAGAGATTTCAAAAATTGTGGTGGTGGGGTATGCTAAATGTTCAGATTAATCCAAGCCTACAGTATGTGCAAATAGTATTATTTTACTTTTTTACTTACTTTCACAAACTCTTTTGACAAATTATGCTTACTACACAGAAAGCTACAAATACATACTGCATTTTTTTCATTTTTAAATTCAAAAATATATGTACTGTTTATAAATGCAAAATACAAAATATGTCTTTATACTGTATTGACAGTTCAACACAAATTGCCATATAATGGGTATACATCTGTAATCTATAATTCTTTTTCAGATACAGCTGCATTCTCACTGTATACATGTACATCAATGTGTATCTATTATTACCTTTTTCAACTAAAACATTGAAAGAAAATACTGTTTCCTTAAACTATAGAGTAAAATCCCTTGAGCTTCAGAAACAAACACTGAAGCCCATTATGCATGCCAGTGCTTTGGGGCTTTGCTGTAAATTAAAACTTGAGCTGAATACAAAACAATACAATCTTTCTTTGTAGTTTGAGTTTTGCTGAAGGTTCCATCATTTATTACTGCTTCTTAGGAAAATATATGCTGGTTATTGTGTCCCCAGGCAGTCGGTGCTATTTTTCTTCTATAAATAACTTCCTAAGATCGCTCAATAGGATATGCTTCTTGCTTAACAAGTCCACAAGTTCTATAGATGTGAGTCTGGATCAGCCCAAGCCTTGTCTGACTAGGTTCAGTGTTTCTGCAGCTTCCTCTCATTACCTTTGTCTGACAGCCAACACAATCAGGCTAAGTAACAAGAAAGGAAATTTCAACCATCATTGACATTTTTACACTTCTGTAAGGCGCTGCATTGGGGTGTCATTTGAGAACTATTACCAGTTAGCAGGGAAAAACAATCTTCTCCAATGAATTCTCTGATGAATGTACTATAATATTTACTTTAGGATGTTGTCAAAATAGCATGTGAATAAACTGATCCATTAAATATATAAGTACAGTATGTACTATGTTACTGTGGCAAACAGGCTTTTGTTGTCAGTTTTACAGGAAGCCCTCTTAGCCTAAAGTGTACACATTTTAATGATAACTGTTTTGGACAATGTATTTGATGTTAAATCTATTTTTTGGTTAGATAATCAATTTTAGGGATTTCATTATAAGGTCTGCGGTAATTAGGGATATGCAGAATGTGTAGGTATATACACATCCTGTCAAGGACCATTTTATTTATTTGTTTGTTCGCCCATTGGGTGTTCTTGTGGCTGAGGATGATTGTCTTCCATGAACCAGAAGGTGATTGATAAGACCAACACAGGGTCCACCCACTTTCTGGCAGATTATTGTGCCGTCTCGTAAGAGAATACCATAAGTAAGAATACAAGATTTTAACAGAGACACAATAACAAATTCTCTGTTTAGATATGTGGTATATACAGTTCTGTAAACAGAAAGTCATGCATTTTATAGGATTGGGGAAAGAAATTACTTTCTGAATATTCAATGTACAGTATGCATTTTTTTCCTGCATGGTTCATTGGACTCCATTTTGGTTTTTGTAATCCATGGAGTTTTAAAATGGAAATTTGGGAGGAAATCAAAGCTTAATCTCACCCCCTTACATCTACCAATATATAAATATCATGTTTCTGACATATTTGTGTTTTGGAATTGGTGCTTAATTTCACGAGAGATAGATTACCCTGTAGGGCTGATGCTTGATGATGCTTACTCTGTGCTAGGCAATCATTGCCCAGTGATTAAAGCACTGTAGCAAGACGCAACACCTGGTTCACAAAAAACATAATCTGTAACACCTTTATAATAACACCTATCAGCCCTAAATCTTTACCTCTCTATGGGCACCCTGGAGAAATAAGCATTGCCTTGCGGTCCATTCCACACTTTGACAGCCTCAAAAGGTAAACGTTTTTCATTTTCAGAAACTCTGCTACTGTAGGTTTTCCTTCATATTTACAAGACGCCCTCCATCCTTCATTTCTTAGATAAATTTGAAATGTTCTTACAGAAAGGTTGTTGTTCTCCTAAACCAGGTAATACTGTGTCTCCCTAAAGTATTGTTTTGAAATACAAATTAGGGCATCTATACTGTATATGTTTTGAGTACTGACCAGAGAGATAGAATATATCCATATCCAAAGCATGCAATACATCTTTGCCTGTGGAAACTACACAAGTTTTGTATTGAAGATGACTACAACATTATTTTGTGGTCAATGTTAGCCCCTGAAGTTTTGTCTTCTTTGTAGGTTTGATTGTCCTTCACAAACCATCAACATAAACCTCGCAAGTTTACAAAAAATGACACTTTTATAATTTCTTGAATTCTATTTTAATGCACATTTTTAAGCAATTGTGGGAAAAGCACAATTTTCACCATGTTAATTTTATGCAAGCAGAAGGTTTCACTCCCCACACTTGACCTTAAACCACAGTGTTGTTTTCATTCTTTTCCTTATCATGGATTGCAGCTGTTCTGCATTTGAGATTTCATTATCTATTCTCTGAACTCCAACAGGCAAAATGGGGGGATTTATGTGTCCTATGGTATTTGCAGCTTTAGGCTACATCTGGAACATTATTAAAATGCAATTACTGTAATGAATTACATGAATACATTATGACAGTCATTTTGGTTGCTGTCAGAACTACAGCATCTAATTAAAACAGTGGTCTCAGCCAGATCTTTGCTTCACTTGGAAAATAGAAAGTACACTCAACAAAATGGCCTCATGTGGCTGGGTTGTTAAAGCGCTTCCCTGAAGCCTTTCAGGTTGCGTTACAGCCTCTACCGTTCGTAGAGGAACCCTTCACCAAGGTACCATTGGACTGGGTGGGAATACTACCTAGGACTCCAACAGGGAAAGGGTATATTCTTGTTCCTTATTCCAGGAAATTTTATCTTACTCCAAAGACATTCCTCTTTGAATACAGCAAATGAAAAATTTCTGGTGAGATTGTGACTGATCAGATCACATCCTGCCTAATTCAAGAGGTTGCCCAGATGCTCAAAATTCAGTTTCTAAGAACATCTGTGTATTATCCACAAGCTGCACAAACTGATGGACTTCAAGGGGACTTTAGAGTAAATAGTGAAAAAAGTAGCTCAAGAAGAGGGCTGGGATTGGAATTGTCTCTTGCCGCTGCTAATTTGTGCTGTGTGAGAGCTGTTGCATTCTTCCACCAAGGTCTCCCCTGTGATTTACTACAGTACGTGGGAGACACCACAGAGAACTAGTATGTGGGAGACATTGCAAGAGAAATGCTGGAATCATAAAGGATAACTAATAGAAACCTAATAGAATATTTTAACAATTGCCAAGCACACATCACTCACTTAAAGTCGAGGGTGTGTAAACACTTTTGACTGAAAAAGACACATTATTGCAAGAAGAGAATGCATCTTACCTTTGGAGATTTTCCAGTGATCACATGGCACATCAGCAAAGCAAAAAGCCACACGAGAAAGTCCAGGGCATTGCTAAAAATCATTGTAAGTAAACAAATATAGGAATGAATATACTTCCTATATTCCCATACAAAATATAGGAATGGAATATACTCCACCAGGGAAGTGCAGCATCCACCTGTGTGCAGTAGTTATTATGTACTGTACCTGTAGCTTCATTACACAGGAGGCCAGATAGAAAAGTGAGTCACTGGTTCATCAATTGAAATAATGGGTAACTTGGTGAAAGTTAGCCCAGAGAGGAATTTTGACAGAATCTGTACATTGTCACGCCCCACATTCACCCTTTGCAAACGCCATTGCATTCCAAAATCCACTGTTTTACAATCTCATTCCTAATTGACCCCATCACATTCCCACATGCACCAGATTCCTCAAATTCTCACTCCCGGACCAATTATCCAACCACATCTCTTCAAAACCTTCAGTATTTAAAGTTCCCTCACACACCAACCCAAGCTCACTATTGAGAAGCCTCCTGTAGAATTCTCTTGTGTGTGTTTCTAAGCCTTTTGATTGATCTCCTGGTACTAAACCAAATTTTCGATCCTGCCTTTTGACCATGACTTTTGGATTTCGTTTTTGGATTGTGCTTGTGCTACTCTGCATTCTGTGGGATTCATGGTTACACATAAGGATCCTCCTATTCTACCAATTGGTTTCCAGACATACATTATTTGGAAACCACAGTAGAATAGAAGTGTAATGCAAATGTAATAGAATGGTTGTATTGAGAGGGAGCATGTGAAGAATTAAACAATCTAAGATGTCATACTAAATACTCAACCATCTGTTCAGCATGGTTGCAGGAGAAGGCAAATTATGTAGAGACTGTATAATGAATCAGGATTGAGCTTAGACTTACTGTAGTTTTGATGATGACAACCTTTTCTGAATAAGTCTGAGGGAAGAGCTGTGTTTAGAGGTTTTGGATTTATGGCAGTTTTTATGAGGGAAGTAACATCATTTCTGGGATTTGCTGCTGACTCCATTGTTTCAGATATAAAGCTCTTATCAGGAAAAAAACATACAGACAGACTTTGGATTATATGTTTTAGGCTGTGATATGCACACAAACATTTTAGTCACTTTTTTTTCTTTCTATTAATGGTTATTAATTTAACAAAATGGCTAAATAAGCTAATTTTTAGCTAATAAGCTAAAAATAACAAATTACCCTTTGTAGAAAACTTACAGAACTTCAAAAGTCACTGTGAAAGTATTCCAAAACTACAAGTTCCAGAAATACATCTAACGTTGCTTTGTAGCTGCATAACCATCCACCAAGAAACAACAACTAGATGCTTTGAAATTCCTTCAAGATCACGTGGTGAGACAAATGCAAGTTTTATAAAAAGATCGTTTGCATTTCAAAGCCTGATGTAGGTGGAAGACAGATGTCTCTTGTGGGACAGTGTTCTTCACAAAAGCTTTAAATTAAGCACAAAAATATCGGCTAAGATTTCACAGCTCGAGTAGAAGCATTACTCTATAAAGTATGAGTCAATCACTCTGGGGAAAAAGACTGTTTTCAGATCCCAGTCCTAACTGAGATTGGGGCTGAGTAACAGTGGCATATTGGAAAATGTTTTCTGCCAGATTTTCTGTTTTCTCTATACATCCATAAAATCTATTTTTGTTCAAGTGTGATTCATTTTGTTCTAATACTTCTTACATATTTTAGTTATCTTGCAAATTAATTTTCATTTTTATTGTTAATCATCGGTTGTTCTTAAAATCATACTGCTCATGTACAGTATAGTCGTTGATCCACCCACTATCAATAAAGTGTTTGATTATTCCAGTGATAAACAGTAAACTGCAGCCAATCCCAGGAACATGGTACACATGCTGGAAATAATAATACTGTACATTACTGCTTTCCTTCTTGACAGGACGCCAGTCAATCACTCCACCACAGAGAAAGTGACAATTTGGAATAGGCAATAAGTCATAACAGCACATTTTAGGACACAGAAGGAATTCAAGGGAAGAACACGCAAATCCCAAACAGATGAACTTGACCAGAATAGTAACCCTGACCAGAGAGCAGTGACACAGTTGCACTCACCAGTCACTTGCTGCATCGCCCTTTGTTAGTTAATACCCTAAGAAATGACATTTCTTGTTGATAGGATCAAGGGCTCAGAGACCAGTGAACAGACATATCCTCGTCCAGGAATGTGACAGAATTACCCAAAATAGCATCTGCAATAGGTGCAAAACGTGTCACAGTTATAGAGCTTATACAGTATTAGCTTCCTTATACCACTAGCCTGGAACTTTCACTGTTGAGCCTGTTGACGACAAACGGTAATGAGCAAAACAAATTCACTTAAGTCACGTCTATTCGATAAAATGTCAGTGCACCTCCAACAATTTTTTTCATTTTCCATATAACTGAATTTGTTGTGGTTATTTACTTTGAATGCTTAGTATGTGTTTATCATGGTTTCTAAAGAATTATACAAACTTTTCTTCTTATTACATTATTAGGCTTATATTTTGGACTGAAGACTTGGAACCATATTTTAAAAATACTCAATGCTTTTTTTATGTTACTCTTTTTTTCGTACAGATGCAATGTCTAGTTATAAATACTACCACCATTGTGTCTCAAATGTGATGAGCAGATGGATGTTTCTCATTCGTCACATCCAAATAGAAAACTTATCTTAAGATCCATGCAAACTGCAATGTTTACTAGATATTCTCACAGGAGTCACCCCTGGAAGGATGGCTATTAATGCTCAGTGATCCCTGTCCAGTTCAGACAGGCATCTGCTCACTACAGGATTTTTTAAGTGTAATGGTTTTGCCTACATAGCCAATGGGAATACTACACTCAGTTTGGCGTTTCCTGTCAGGCCCCGACCAAATTGGAACACCTAACTTTAATTGCACCTCTGCACCTCATCATGCAATGAGCACCTCAAGGGTAGAGCAGATTTCTAATTGACCTTGTTCTGAGTGTTGGTGGAAAGCTGAGGAGGGGGTGGATATGGATGTATTGAGATGTAGCTGAAACCTGCGGTACAGTTCCTGTGAAATAAAATGGGGCAGAAACGCGGAAAGAAAACGAGAATGTTGGTGCATGGCTGGAAATGTAAGATAAATAAAATGCAGAACTGAGCCTGTCTCCCCTGTTTGATTTTCTCTAATTCAGCGTATTAGAGGATTTTGACAGCATGTCAATACTTGAAGCTATTCCATGCTGAGAATTAAAGACAGCTTAATGTGAGACCTCAGCCTCAACACTTTTACCTGACTCCTGAGGATCTTCATGTTTTTCTGCAATGGCCCTTTTTGGACTAAAATCAATAATTTACTTTCAGAAAATGTGTGCAGTGTTGCTTTGAGCAGAGGCTAAGAAGGTCTGTGATTTTTCATCCCCTAAGTAGCTGACATTCATTTTATAAACACTTGACATTTCAAAATAGTCAGTCTTATATCAGTAAGGTGTTTGGTAAACCCAGTACTATTGATGTATTCAAAATGGCACAGGCATGTCAACCTTTGTTTCCTGTTATTTTAATGCCTTGATAGCAATGCATCTATTGTCAGAGTTTTAGTGTAGTTGTAATGGAAAGGAAACGGGTTTAGTTGAAAATGGTCCCATTTTATACAGGCACATATCAAATACCAATATAATGTCATTATTTAAAATGTGAAAAATAAGGAAAACTTTGAGATAACCATTGTATAAATACATAGTTTACTGCTTTATTGACTTGAGAGACTGAATTTAAAAACAAAATTAAGAAACAGGGACTGATCCATATCTAACAGCCCATTGCTCTTTTCCACCTTTCCACCTACACAGCACTCAAATGTCCCAAATAAAAGGTTTGGAAATTTAAGTGGCTCTACAGTATAACCCTCCTTCTTTCCTTCCACCTGGGTGTTGATTTAGAGGTGTACACAAAGACAGAGGTGTACACAGGTGTACACAAAGACAGATTCGAGTGCAATAGAACTAAGTTATTCTTTATTCGTGCAGCAATTAACCAGCTTATTTTGGACAACTGATTGGATGTTTCACTTTATTTACTGTACTGTATATATTTTTATTTCTCATCATTCATGTAGGTTTCTCATGTGTGAATGGGTTCATGTTGTGGTAAGTGACCTGTATTGTGTATTGTGTTAACTTTTATACCAGCCTACCAGGCACATTTCCCATCTGGAACAATAAAGGAAGTAAGCCTTCACCCTCCATTCCCCCCATATCAATATAACACCAACGTTGTTACCCCACAGAGCTGGTTCAGGAGCAAGAGTGAAGCGAAGACTCGAGTAGATCATGCCAAATTCAGGATTAGTGCATTTGGCCTGAAAATAGGAGGGTTCTCTCTGCTCAGTGAATCTCATAACAGTATGTTTTTTTACAGTATATTGCTAGTGTTATCATTCGGTAGGGTGAAACAAATATTTAAGTGTGTGGTATTACTTTTATTAATATAATATTTTATGTATATTATTTTCTAGATGCTAAAAGCAAAGGAAAGTGCAAGCTAGAGTCCTGCCATGGATAGGCTTCTCACATTTCTAATCCTTAATGTGATTTTACACTGGAGCATTGACTTACACTGGTGATTGATTTTACACTGGTGCATTGACTATGAAATGTCTGTTACACAAAGCTTGTAAATAAAAAGATTTTACTCCTTGTAAAATGTCTTTGCAAATTCTTGAGATTTTTGGTTTATCGTACATAAATTACTGTGGATTAATAGCTGTTACAACATAATGTACAGTATGTAGTGAGGTTTGTTTCATCCAGCAGTTATACACACTGCTGCACGTGCACACAATCATTGATCATGGTCTTTTGAGAAAAGAGCAAACGATAGCCTTTCTTGAGTGCATGGTTTTGATTGCCTTTCCAGTTATTATTGGAAAACAGATCCTAACTGGAAATCAAGAAAAGGGCAGGGAATTTAATTCTATAACAAGGTTCCTTCTTGTTTTAAATGGTATCTGAGTTTAAAGGGGGGAAATTCTGTATTCTCTTTCAAGTGGTCTCCAGCTCTCTTTACAAATTGCTGCTGGTCAGATTACTGTCTAACTACAGTTTGAATGGCACTGATAGTCAAAGACAATTGGCAAAAAACTAAAAAATATTCACTTAATTGACTCATAACTATGGTGAACAGTGTTGCTAGTACTAGCCATCATTCTATAAATAATAAAAACATTATATCAGCAACATTCCAAAATATAAAGACAATAAACTGCAGCAAGTGTGAACATTTTCATTATATT